AGTGAGAGGGTGCATGACAATGTAGGTGGAAGGGGTGCATGACAACGCAACCCGAATGTGTGCATAACAATGCGATTTGAAACAAGCATAACAATGCTATGAAGGTACAAACACATATAAGTAAAGTATACGCGACAACGTGTACAATGTGTGAAGGTGAGGAAAAGTATACACATGTAAGTAAAGCTCATGCGACAACATGTACAATGTGTGAGGCAATTGTGAAGATAAGTGTGAACACATGCAAGTAAAGCATGCGCAACAACGCATGTACAATGTGTGAAAATGTGAGCAATGTGTATGACGAGAGACACTTGAACACGTATAAGTAAAGTACACATGACAACACATACAATGTGTACAATGCACAAAGCCGAGCATAACTTATGATCATGCAAAGAAAGCTGTAACGAAGCATATACATACAATAAATGCAACAATTTAAGCAATCAAACACAAGTCCAACTACATTACAATGCAGAAAGGATGTAAGAGAATTAAGTAATTCTCGCTACGTTTGACGCGGAGAATACAATACCTGTGTGGCTCGTCTGGTCGTGCCAGCTTCAAATGAACCGTACATACAATATTGTGCCTGAAAGAGAAAGAAACTTAACAGGTACAATATTGTTAGAAGTATGCTTAACAATGCAATTGAAAGTGCGTGATAGCGCAAGTGAAGGGGTGCATGGCAACGCGGGTGAAAGGGGTGCATAACAACGCGACCCGAGTGTGCGCATAAACATGTGATTTGAAATAAGCATAACCATGCTAGGTAGGCACAAACACATATAAGTAAAGCACACGCGACAACGCATACAATGTGCATGATGAGAGAAACTTGAACACATAAGTAAAGTACACGCAACAACGCATACAATGTGTATAGGAAGGAACTTGAATGGAAGGGTGCAAGACAATGCAACCTAAGAATGCGAAACAACGCGGGTGGACGGGAGGACGCAAGACAATGCAACCTAAGAATGCGAAACAACGCGGGTGGACGGGAGGATGCAAAACAATGCAACCTATATTCTGTAGGCAATGAATGCATGTGATGTATGCTATGTACAATGCAATAGGTATACTAGATGATGCAGTAGAGAGATGCATGATAATGCAAATGAAACACGCATAACAATGCAAGATAAGAGAAATGCATGACAATGCAAATGAGACATGCTTGACAATGCAAGATAGAGAAATGCATGACAATGCAAGTGTGGCGTGCGTGACAACGCATAGCATATGTGCATAATAACGCGAGTAGGAGTGCATGACAATGCATGTGAGGAAATATGCATGACAATGCGTGTAATTTGAGATGCATGACAATGCGAAATGAGACACGCATAACAATGCATGGATTGAAATGCATGACAATGCGTGTAATTGAAATGCATGACAATGCCTGACTTATTGAAATACATGACAATGCATACTATTGGGATGCACAACAATGCAAATGAATTCAAAATGCGTGACAATGCACATCTCTTGAAATGCATGATAATGTAAATGACCTTAAATGCGTGACAACGCACGTTTGTTGTTTTCTCGAAATGCATAACAATGCAAATGAACTCAAATGCGTGACAACGCACGTTTTTTTTTTTTAAATGCATGACAATGCAAATGAACAGCGCATAACAATGCAAGTTGTTCGTGTTACAACGTGTGTAGACCTGCATAACAATGCAACCTATGCATGTTTATCATAAACGAGGCAACACATGTAATGCAACGCATTTAAAGTGGTTATTGAATCTCATAAGATACCAAAGGATACGGAAAGGATACACCTTGTGCGTATTGAGCATCGCATATGAGAAACACGGCTCGAGGTCAACACGAAGGTCAATCAAGGTTGAAAAGTGCATTTCCTTGTACTGCCTTGATAAATGGAGGTTCCAAACCACATGAATGACCCAACAAAGGGTGTGGAAGATTCACCGGCCACCGGGGGAGTCCACCGGCCACAAAATAAGGCCATCGGCCATATTTTTGGCCGACCGGCTAACAATTTGGCCGACCGGCCAAAAATGCCTGTGTCGGGGCAGTTTTGTCCTTTGACCACGGGTCTTTAAATATAGGGCTTCATGCCCTATATTTCTCACTTGCCCAAGCTCGAAAACTTCTTCCCTCTCTTTCTAGGTTATTTTTCAACCCTCGATCCTTGCTTTTTCTTGGTTTTAGAGCCCTTTTTGTCGTTCGATTCGCGAAAACCTCCCCGTTTCGCACGTTTTGAACTAAACAAATCTCAGTTTCGGTGACTTTTTCTTGGTTTCCACCACTTGGGACTTGTTTTCCCCAAGTTTTCCTCGATCTTTGTGTATTTTCCACATTCAGACCTTCCTGCCCATTTTTCACCTTCTCGGGGTTGACCTTAGGGTTGACTTTTCACATTCTTGCTCGGTTTTCACACTTCCGGCCATTTTCAAACTATCCTTGAGATGGCGGACGACATTCCAGGCGGTGGGGCTCCCCCAGAGTTGGACGTGGACCCTGAGGCTGGGCTCCTACCTCTTCACATCCGGTCGTTCGATCCGGCGACCTATAGGCCGGCGATACACGTGTTTCCTCCTGACAGCCTTCGCCACTTCAGGAGCCATGCACGAGGTGTGCCACCGGAGCTTCTGCTATGCGAGCTAGAGTCACATCTGTCCTATGGCGCTTCTGAGGTACACTCTTCCTTGTTTCATTTTCTGCAAAGTAGAATACATAACTGCAATAGTTGATTCTGTTCTTTAAATGTTTGGCCCGGATACACCGATACATCGCATGTCGTGGTTCACTGCGAGCACACCCGCACCTAATATCTGTTTGAATCTGAACACGCGCACACACGTTGTATTTTCACTGAACCACTCAAACACACTGATACATCATGTGCCTCCTGACAGCCTTCGCCACTTCAGGAGCCATGCACGAGGTGTGCCACCGGAGCTTCTGCTATGCGAGCTAGAGTCACATCTGTCCTATGGCGCTTCTGAGGTACACTCTTCCTTGTTTCATTTTCTGCAAAGTAGAATACATAACTGCAATAGTTGATTCTGTTCTTTAAATGTTTGGCCCGGATACACCGATACATCGCATGTCGTGGTTCACTGCGAGCACACCCGCACCTAATATCTGTTTGAATCTAAACACGCGCACACACGCTGTATTTTCACTGAACCACTCAAACACACTGATACATCATGTGCTGTAGTTCACTGCAAGCGCACCTACACCCGATATCTGTTTGAATCTGAACACTCGTACACACGCTGTATTTTCATCTGAACCACTCAAACACACTGATACATCACATGCTGTAGTTCACTGCGAGCACACCTGCACCCGATATCTGTTTGAATATGAACACGCGCACACAAGTTGTATTTTCATCAATTCTAAGTGTTTTCAACGTTGTATTTGTAACACTGCTTCGCAAATGTTTGTTTTGACCTCAGGGGGATTCCCATGCCTTCCGGGGGTATGGGAATGTTGCTGCCAGGGCTTGGTACATGGAGCTGCCCGATGCGGTTCGTCGCATCGTTGACCGAGCTGGCTTTGGGACTTTTTGCATGGGACTCTCGCGCCTCACTGTGAGTAGGCCTCTCCTTGCTGCTCTAGTGGAGAGGTGGTGGGACACCACCGACTCTTTCCACCTTTCCGCCACCGGGGAGATGACGATGACTCCCTTCGACTTCTCCATACTCACAGGCATCGGAGTGAGGGGTGATTCGATCCCCTTCGATACTGACATGGACGAGTGGGACGCCGCTCAGATGAACCTGCTCGGTGCTCAGCCACCTCTTGCTTAGGCAGGGTTCGTGCAATACTCATGGTTCGAGGACCATTTTTGGATCCAGGCGCCTACTACCCAAGAGGAGAAGGAGTAGTACGCTCGTGGATTTATCATGTTCTTGCTGGGGACCACTCTGTTTGCCGACCGGGCGAACACCATCGCCCTCTACTTGCTGAGGGCACTGGTGGATGTGACACAGATCTGCCGCTATGACTGGGGTGGCACAGGCTTGGCCACTCTCTATGGCTGCATGAGTTCGTCCTCTCCCCTCAGTGGACAGTTTCTCGGAGGCTACAGGCGAGCTTGGGAGGTACATATTCCCTTTTCTATTTTCTCAGTTCTATTTCACATTATCTGTACACTGCACACACTGCACACTCTGCACAATACACTGCACATACCGCTTTCTGCTTTATCTGCATACTGTTTTATCTGTATACTGCTTTATCTGATAAGCTTGCTCATATCCATTCTGTCACACTGTACAGTTGTGGGTGTATGCCTACTTCCTGAGACTTGCCCCAATGCCAGACGAGGAGATGCCCCTTGGCATTCCATTCTCTCACCGCTTCGACATGAGGTGCGAACGGAGACCACGGGAGTCCCTCATTTTCTTTCGCCGCTACTTCGATACTATCACCGCAGCAGAGGTATGTCAAACATTACAGTTCATTTAAGCTTCGCTTTACATTGTTCTTTCAATATCAGTAGGTAACAAACTGTATTGTATTTACAGATTACCTGGCAGCCTTGGGCCCCATTGCCCGACGCAATTCGGGGCCGATATGCTGGTGCCCGAGAGATGGCCCAATTCAGAGTTCTATTGGAGGGCCCCATCTGCCACGCCTGGTACCTGGGCGAGCACTTCTTGCAGCAGACCTTAGGCGTGCCAGAGCAGACAGTTCCAGAGCTGCCTCCTACGACCATGAGGCAAACAGAGAGGTACATTCTGGAGAAGATGATAGACTATACGATCGGCTGGGACTCCGAGGGATTCAGAGGTGAGGGCGACTACACTGAGTATATCCAGGCCTATCTGATGCCACCTCTGACTGGTCCTCGCCAAACTGAGAGGGAGAGGCCTGCGGCACCAGCGGTCGAAATAGGAGTACGGAGGGCGGCTCGGGCAGTGAGGGTACCTCCGGCTAGAGGCAAGAGTGGATCTCAGAGAGAGCAGAGAGGCGAGTGACCGACTTTACCCACGATGATGACCTGCCGAGGGCAGGGTGGGGAGACATACCAGATCCCCATCACTCCCCCTCCGCCTGACCACGAGCTAGTTGGATTCTACGGCTTGCCTCTAGTACGTATTACTGCATTCTGTATCCTGTACAGTTATTTTGTTTCATTTCTCTTGATGTTCCGCAGCATACTGATGTTTCTAACACTCTTGTAGACTTCTGCCGAGTACACTCGTCAGTCTTTGGAGTTGACTGCCTCTGTGATGGGGATGTTGCAGCGGAGCCTCGACCTGCTAGCTATTTACAGTATCCCGGTAAGTTCTTTCAACTACAATCTCAAACCCTTCATAATCTGTTTCATACATAATCTGATGCATCGCACTGCCAACGTGGCACTTGATACGCGGCCCTCACGGCATTTGATTCACTGTAACCCACAAACTGCTCATAACATTGTTTACGGCATTCATACACGGCACTCAGTCACTGTACTCTGTACTGACACACTGCTCATAGCATTCATACACGGCATTCTGCACTGATATACTGCCCATAGCATTCATAACTGCACTCATACGCTATATTTTGTATTCATACTCTGCTTTGCTGATGCATTTGCCATTTGTCCTTTTCAGCCCCCATTCCAGATGTCGGCTGCAGGGGGTGCTCCAGCAGGACCATCTGCATCCACCCGAGGAGGAGGGAGAGCAGGGCGAGTGACGGTAGTACACCCCCGCACCAAAGCGTGGCGCACTCATGTTGGGAGCAGCTCACGGGCACCGATTCCGGACGATGATGAGTCTGAGACGGAGGCAGAGGCAGAGTCATCGGAGGATAAGACTGGAGATGATTCGGGCTCGAGCTCAGATGGTGGAGTCAACGACGAGGCCCCTGGACCTTCGTCCAGGAAGAGGACGAAGACAGACTCTCATGCCTGAGACCATTGATCTAGACTTTTGCTGCTTTTTCTTTTTTTTTTTTTCCACCCGAGGAGGAGGGAGAACAGGGCGAGGGACCGCAGTACACCCCCGCACCAAGGTGGGGCCCACTCATGTTGGGAGCAGCTCACGGGCACCGATTCCGAACGATGATGAGTTCGAGACGGAGACAGAGGCAAAGTCATCGGAGGATGAGATTGGAGATGATTCGGGCTCGAGCTCACATGGTGGAGCCGGCGACGATGCTCTTGGACCTTCGTCCAGGAAGTGGACGAAGACAGACTCTCATGCCTGAGACCATTGATCTAGACTTTTGCTGCTTTTTCTTTTTTTTTTTTCTTTTCTTTTTGCTGGTGAATTGAGCACATTGTACTGCCGCAGGCAGGTTTTGTTCTCTTCAAAACTATGTACTTGAAAAGATGATGGAATGAAACAAACTTTTTCCCAAAAAAAGTGTTGCATCGCATATTTCATACGTCACACCGCATCATATTACATAACAATGTAGTTGAATTGGAAATTGAACATGCATGTATCACCAGGTCAGGTAGACCAACGTAGCAAATTAACTCAATAAGCAACCATAAAACCTTGACAAGTTTACAACTCGATAAGCAGAGAGCAACAACTCGATAAGCAAAATTACAACATCTTGGTAATCAAGTGAGCAACAACTCGATAAGCAAATGAGTAACAACTCGATAAGCAAATGAGCAACAACTCGATAAGCAAATTGGAGTAATACAGTTGTGACTTTGCAAAATCAACATCGGAAGGCACTGGAAATGGAACTAATCACAAGTTCTCAATATGTTCAACATATAGAGTGTTTGTTTTGAACACACCGCTCGCATCACAGTACTCTGTTTATTTTGATCATACGACTCATGTAGGACACTGTCGAGTCTAAATACACAGCCCATTCTGAACATTGCTCATTCTGAACTTACTGCCCATAACATAGCATTCGATTTACTTGGCATACAGCTAATTCTGAACAAACAGTTCAATTCGAGCAGACGGGATGCGAAGGTGGGATTGGCGGAAGTTGAAACATACTCGGATGCTCCAAATGTGGAAGAACAATCGTGGAGAATGGCACAGCACTCTAAGCACAAAGAGATTTTAAAAATTGAGAAATGAGTTCTCAATCGGGTATTGAGCCTACAATTGAACACAGCGAAAAACGACTCAACAATAGAAGACAAAAGGGATACAACCCAAAGACAAACACAAACACTTGAAAAGACTCAAGACAAGAATCGAGACAAACAAAACAAAAGACACGACACTCGAACGCGTTACAAAAGCGAGAGGCTAGTTTCTCCGGGTATTGTTTTCCACCCTTTCTCATTTGTGATTCTCACATTACTCGGCCCTCAAGCTCTGTTTTTCTGAAAAAGCCCTTTTCCTCACTTTTTCTCTCAACGCACATCTCTCTATTCTTCAATCCCTTATCATTTTTTTTATCCCTCCCCTGGTTGGTTTGATGGATAAACAAAAGGTTATGGGTTCATGCCCAACATTATTAGCTCGCGGCTATCTCCTTCGGTGTCATTTAGTCAAGGCCCCGGAAGAGGGAATGGAGTAACTTGATCCACTCGAGTTCGTGCTTCGCACTTGGCTTGATACCTCGTTGCTCAGAGGATACTGAGAGCTTTCGGCCCTTTGTTGTTAGCTTCAACTGTGCGCTTTTCTGGCAGGTAGAGTGCCCTTTCTGGCAAACGCATGGATAACGGGGAAAAGACAGGAAGCCTGACTCAACTGTGCCCCTAGTTCATCATTTTGACCCTTTTTTGTTTTTGCTTTCTACTAAAACAATTTTGACCAAAATGAGAGTTAGATTAACATGCTTGTTCAATTTCCTGATTTGAAATCATGCAAGTTAGGCTATGAGCACTGAAAATTTTCCTTTTGGGTCCAAGAAAATGGTCCGGTTTTGGAAAAATGGAATAATTATCAAGAGAATCAGTCAACCTCAGTAAAAATTCTCAAAAACTATTTTTGCAAACGGCCACTGCTCTACGAGCACGGAACCTACTCTTGAGATGTACGACCTCGGATCGGAAGCAATGGAAAGTTGCGCCTTGTCTGAAGGACACTGCACGGCAACGGCAAGTTGCCCTTTGTTTGAATAGTACCGCAGCACACTGTGTGGCAACGAAAAGTTGCCCTTTGTTTGAATAGTACCGCAGCACACTGTGTGGCACCGGAAAGTTGCCCCTTGTTTGGATAGCACCGCAGCGCGTTGTTATTGGTCCTTCATAGTGACGATCACAACCAAACTCTCGGATACAGAGAAAACAAAGATGAACAAAATCATTACATGGACATAATCGATTTGGAAGTGTTTGTGGCTGGACTTCAGGATGGAGTTGCCTACGTATCCCAAACATGGGAATCAAGCCTTACGTAGTTCCGGTTATGGGACACTTGGGTATTAACCTCTCCTTCTACACTCTAACTTTTGCCAAGGCCGCGGTTCTGGGTTTTCGACCTTGCGAGCTTTGTTCTTCTTTTCTTTTCATTTCTTTTCATCTCCTTTTCTTCAATTCTTTTCTTTTTCTTCTTTTTTTGCATTTTTCTTTTTTTTCTTGCTCTAACTTTTGCCTGGGTCGCCCTTCTAGGTTTTCGGCCTAGCAAGCCTCTCAAGGATAAAAGTGTAGCTTTGTCCATGTCAAATGGTTTTGAGATCTCGAAGCCATCTGAATCCAGAAGAATGGCTGTTGTTTACGGATGATGTCGGAGTCCATCCAATGGGGGCTGAATTTGCCTCTAATGTTGTGGATAGGAACTTAGTTGTTCTCTGGTAGTACTTTCTTCTTTCCTCCCTTCTGGGATTTGGCATTCTCGCCAATCTTCGTCTTAGACTCTTTGAGTGCATTATCTGACGTCTTTTGCCCCTTGTTCGAGAGGTGCTTCTGATCTGGCCATACAGGTTTCACATTATGGTTGACTATTGAACATTCTGAACCCCAGTTCAACTGTTTGAAAATAGAAGGGGGTCGAGTCTCGAGGCTAAGAGCGATCCTAGGCTGCACAATCTCAAGAGCGATTCCACACTGGTCTTCGCAGGACCGCGCAAAATATTTTTTGAAAACTTTTAAGAAAGCGACGAATCGCTCGCACTGAAGACAGTGCAAAACCAATCTGGATCAAGCTAGGGTCCTTCTCAGTACTCATACCAACAAACATGATTCCATTCATTAAGGGCTTAGCACGCCTCTCTTTCTCTCATATGATCAAATTTTGCAAAACCCGAGGAATTCATTCCTCTTCATTTTCACCACAACGTTCAAAAAGTTTTGAAAAACTTAGGTCAATACAATGAGTTGAAGGCACAGAAGAGCAGGTGAAATGCACTGCCGCTTCATTCAAGATTCTGGCACAACTGGCGCAAGGCCGAAGCAAACACGGGAGTGTGAAAATTACTACTGTTTCATTCAGATCTTCTGGTGTAACTGGCTTTAGGACAGAAACAGACTCAAAAGAAAGGACAAACACAAAACAAAATAGTGATATCCGAAGCAACAACCCCGGAATCACCCAACTTCTATACAACAGGACTGACTCGATACAACAAGACAGACCCTTAATTAAAAAGACTGACTCAAAACAAAGAGACAGACTCAAAAACAAAACCACAGAACTAACTCAACACCCGAGTCAGAAACTACAAAAGTTAACATTCGCAGATGCCCAAAACAGTGCACGCCACACATCACATTTGAAGTAAACCGAGCACCGCCCGCAGGTGGGCCAACCCCTGATCACATACTTGCATTATCTTCGAAGTCCAGAAACTCAGTGGTGACAGACTTTGCTGAGCTGGGTGGGAGGATGACCTCATTATTGATCAAGTCTTGCACTTCGAGGCGAAGACGAAAGCAATTGTCAGTGGTGTGACCAGCCTGTTGATGGTACACATAGTACTGGGTGGCATCATGACCCGGCGGAAGATAAGCAGAGAGAGGCCGAGGCTCAAGGGGTTTGAGATGACCTTTTTCCGTGAGGACTTGAAGCGCCTTGGACAAAGGCATGTAGAGGGCATTAAAAGCCCTGCACCCTCGGGGTAGATACTTCGAAGTCTGTGGACCTTTGCTGGGCACACTAGCAAAAGGATCGGCAGGTGCTGCCCCGGTTCTCTAATCTTTTCTAGGTGCAGGATTACGGTTGAGAGGAACGGTTCATGTATGACCTTATCCCGATTTTCCCTCTGGCTTGAACTACTCTCGGTTTGAGTGGGGAAGATGTCATCCACAGTCTTAGCCACAACTGCGAGTACTTGTTGCTTATTCAACCCCCCGGCTTTCAAAGCCTCAACAGCTTGCTGGAGTTGTGCATAGGGATCTACATCTGCCCTCATCTTGATCTTTCCAATAGCCTCAGCTTGGTGGGAGGTTTGGGTTGTTGCTTCAGTGCGAAGCCCCGTTGTCGTTGATATGTCATTGCCGGAGTTTGAGATAGCTTCAGGCTGGCTGAGCTCAATTACAATTCGCCCCAGTAGCGGGGGCTCCTGCGGCATGAAATTCCCAACAAACGATGCAGTTGGTGGCGGGGCGAACATTCCATAGGCTAGATCAGCCACGGATCTTTGGAGGTCGCCAATCATTCCCATTAACTCAAACGTGGTGCGTTCACGAGCTTGAAACAACTGGGGTTCCCAAATCGGGCGCGCAGCAGGCGACCTGGGTGGGTGTGATATCTCAACATCGGTCTCACCCTGTAAGATGATCCCTTGGTTTAGTGCAGCTGCCATAACCATGACTTCCTCTGAATTTTGTGACATCATAAATCCGCTGAACTGAACGGAGGTGATGTGACTAGTGACTTGATTGATCGGATATCTGCCTTGCCTCGGCGAAGGAGAACACTGGCTATTTTGAACTCAAATTTTTGAAACTCCCCCCTCCTCCTGAAAGAGAAAACAGGCAGCGTCTCAGCCCAATTTTACCCAAACAATCACAAGCACAACTGAATAACGATATTTTGATCACTGATCACTGTTCCCCAAAACTACTGCCCCAAAACTGAATCTGATACCCGCAGATACTATTGATTCTCAAAACACTGACACTGATGCCCGCAGGCCTGATGCCCAGACTTGCAAACAGATATGTGCGTTCCCTGTAAAGGTCAACTCTAAAAGCACATATAACAAGCAAATGAAAGCCAATACACCCCTATATTGGGGTAGGGTTTCCCTGTCCTAGTTTCGTCAACAACTAGGGTTTCACTACGCATACAGCGGTTTCAAACAACCTACAATCGGGTAAGCAACCTATCCTAGTTTGG